TACGTAGTGTGACATCAAAGGGCTTTTTGACATTACAGGAAGCTTAATTTCCGTGACGGTATATAGTCACAAGGTCCCTTATTTCACCACTTACTGTGAAAACCAATCATACTTGGCAATAATACATGTACATATAGGTAGCGAAATCACAGACCTGGCGACTATCAGGTCATAAACGTCATACATTTAATTTTGAAACTGCCCACACAGACCAAATTCACAGAATTTTCAGTGCCAGAAGTCTGGTGTCGCTAATAAAGCAACATTTCAAGATGAAGAAGGTACAGAACTCTGCACCCACACTTTCATTTCAGCACTATGCAGTGATCTAGGCTAAATAATGCCATTTTCAAATAGTCCACTATGATCATTCACAACCACTCAGCACAAAGAGAGCCCAAATGATCATATTACAATAAGTGTGGAAGCCGGCGCACCCTTCCTACACATATTAATTCATCTGTGGTATCAGCAAAATGAAAAGGGCACCTTTCATGGACAAATCAGTTCTTAACATCATAGGAGATGAGTGTGAGATAGGGATTTATTATAGCATTACATATTTCTACGTACTTAGCATGGTTCCCTGTTGTCTGGGCGTCTTCTTGATCCTGCTCACTAAGAGCCTGGACACTGTGACGGAGTGGTAATCTATCTATTACGACCGGTTTTAACAGCTAAATAAAGCGCGACGTTTATCATTGCAATCTTGGTTCCGAATTGAGATTTATTGTGTAGTAAGGCATTGCGTGCACACTCTCATGGTTCAATGGTTCGTTGCATAATAGTGGGTATAATTAATTACTGGACCGTAACATTACTCCCCTCTCTCCCAAGTTATTATTGCTGAATAAATTGAGCATACAGGTAATTAATAAATGAAACTGGTCACATTCGAATAAGTTAAATCCTAAAAGAAAGCATCACATTACTCAATTCGCAATTTACATATCTTAAGTTATATCGTATCTTAAGTTATAGACAGCTTGAGAATGAACCTATCCAAGGTAAATCCACATTTACATGAAGTATAAATTCATCAATTCTCAATACAATGCATTAAATTACATGTATATATATAGTCTCAAGAAACTTAAAACTCCAGGACATACATGTACATCCACTTGCGAATTCAGTGTATGACATGTATTTGACAACTTGATTAATTGAATGGCCTATTCACAAAGTCACAATTTGCACTTTTTTCCACTACGATGCTGAACTGCAAACTGGTATTGCTGGAGCAACATGGACCATCTCATTAATCTACTAGTTTGATTCTTCGTAGTTTGCAGCCATATAAGTTGTTTGTGGTCTGATTGAACAATGAAATGTGTACCATACAAATAGTACTCAAACTGCTCAATTGCAAATATGATCGCACACAATTCACGCTAAACTTTGGACCATCTGTGTTGTGTTTCAGTCAGTTTCTTTAACCGGAATGCAGTCGGGTGTTCCTTTCCGTTGTGGACCTGACTCAGTACACAGTGGTACAGCTCCGATAGCCTTCTCGGATGCATCACTCTGAACGAGAAAGGGTAATGAATGGTTGGCTATTTGCAGCACACGAATACCCTACCTTGTTACCTATCAGGACATCACATGGGCAATGCATGACCACAACATCAGACTCAACCTCATTGCCACCGATGCGTAGAGTAACTCGCGCCTTAGGAACCTCTTCAGCCATGCCATTCGCAAGGTGTACTATCTCCACATGTTTCTCTCCTTAATCCAAACACCAAGTTGTGGACTGACATTTCACAGAAACTGTTCTTCAGTAATTAATTTGGTGAGTTTTTCTAAACTATCAACCTTACGAGATTCAAACCAGCGTTTGCTCTCACGTTTCATGCGGATGACCCACTCAGTATTTGTTTCAGTATCCCTTTTACGAGAAGCCTGGAATTTCCTCCTGTACTCTTCCAGTGTCAGATTGTACTGGTCCAACACTGCTTTCTTGATTTTATTATAACTTTTAGAATCCTCCAAGGTCAATTTCACAAGAGCTTCCTCGGCTTTATCCGTGGGGAGTGTATGAATATACACTGGCCAATCATCTTTACCAATTGAGTTTGTGCCCACCTTTCGAACTGTTCTAGATACAGTTCAATGTGTTCAATTTCCTTAAATGGCTGAAATATTCATCTTGTGAAACAGTTTTACCGATTCAGCCATGATGACAATTAATTTAACAAAAAAAAATACATGTACACAAAAACCTCACTAGAGTTCATACTCAACCACTGAAACAATAATCTCAATGTAACAAACTCAATTTCAGTTTCACCACAGGTAATCGTACCAAAAAACAATAAAACTTCAGCCTTACTGTATGTGCACAAATCAAAAGCTATAAATTACATGATGAGACCTTACAATTTGATCATAACACACAAAATACTTATCAATTCTTAATAAATAATACACGCTAAATGGCCATATTGCATGAAGTGCACACGTGGGGATTCAGGGTACTAGACCAAAATTGATTTGTTGTTTCACTAGTCATGATTCGAAAATATTGGATATTATCAGTAAGTTCAGCGACCATACAGCACAACAGACAGTTGTCAGACAGTTGATGTATAGGGTCCTATGCTCGCCTGGTTCTCAGTCACACAGTACTCAACAATATTTCCAAGTTCAAGCAATGAATAATATCAGTAGCAACTCCAGATCAATCAAGAACATGGTGTCCACTTTTGATTTGCTGGTAACCGCCACCACCGTCAACTTCTAAGAGTGAAAGGGCATCCTGCACTGGGGCACTCTTCCATCCACATGTGACCAGCTCGATTCCCGATATGCGTGCATCGCCATGAGTGCCGTCCATCACGGTAATCTAAATCCCACCACGGTACGGCTGAGTCCGATTGTCCTGTACTTCCCTAGGTGGTAGGCAGCTAGACTGCGATAGGGCTTGGTCCGGAGACGGACTTAAACAAGGCACTACAATATATACGGTATGAGATCACATTGCTTCGTAGTTCTCGCACCAGACAATTGCTGAAAATCGATGACCGTGCCAAGATTTGAAAGGAAGTTTCACCCTCAAATTTCACGTTCCTTGTGAAATTATTGTCATTGGAATAATATCGTTGGCCATATGATAACCTTGGGTACCCAAATTCTTCGTACTCTCACTAGTACTTGCCCGTTGGTCCCTCGGTCCCACCAACTCTGGATCACGTCGATGCCCACCAGTAACCAACACTCAATTCGAATGATGGGCAGTCTTCCGCCGGCCCTCTGAACCAAGTTGTTAGACAGTCAAAAAATGGTCGAAGAAAGTCGATATATAACCCAGAGAGGTCACTTGATGTGAGGGAAGCTCTCTCTCTCTCTATCGACCAGGCATCCTGTGACTACGCCATTATTACAACCGGTTTTAACAGCTAAATAAAGCACAACGTTGCTCATTGCAATCTTGGTTTCGAATGGAGATTTATTGCATAGAAAGGCATTGCATGCACACTCTCATGGTTCCATGGTTCGTTGCATAATAGTGGGTGTAATTAATTACTGGACCATAATACTATCCCAATCATCTAATTAAGATTCATTACCCATGCACTCTGCTGCCTCATAACAATCCATACCCTGACAAACAACCCCTGCACACTGCATATAGAAGAATCTATTCAAAAACACATTAGTTTCATGATATGAAAATGGAAAACATTTGTCTATACCGGTACGTCCTCCTGTCTAGCTGAGCATCTCAGAAACATTGTACTATGCATGCACATTCATCCCAGGCATGCACATTTTGTGCACCTCTAATTGTTCTTTTAACCACACTGAAAACTCCCCCCAAAAAGGGCTGGATCCAGTGGAAATTCTTGGTATGAAAACAACTGAATGCTTGGAGGACCACTGACAAAGCCATTCTGTGATACTGGCACTTCAGAGTGTAGTCAAGGCTGTGAAATGAATAATGCTGTCTACACTTTACAGATTGGTTGCAAATGATGCAGATATATCAGCTCTGCTTCAATTGAAACTTCCACACAATGTGGAGGCTTGCAATGCCTGCAAGTTTTTACAACAGAAATGCCCAAGACCGAGGTACCCCAGTTCCAAATTGAGTCCATGCCCATTGGGTTTTAAAGTTAAACTGCCACTAATAAAAAGCCAATACCATGACAATGGTCAACACAAAGCCAGGAAATATGCCAGTCTGTGCTGGAAGTTTCAAACGTCATGTGCAATAAATCATACTTTCATAAAAAAGGGTTCTCCAGATGTCAGAGATGAGTTTTGCATATGTGGTAATAATAATGTCATGGTCAGAAATTTCTAACTACAAGGAAAGACAAGGAATGCCCGTTCCATGCATATCACTGATCCTTGAAATACATGTATCACAGTTTGTTTGGTTCGATTAGCCCTACCCTCCTTGCTCCTTCAAAATCCATCAGGTGGTTTTGGAAACTTTTGCAGGATTTCAAGGTGGCATCTGTAGATCCCATCCACCATTACTTTAAAGTGGGCTTGATGCCCTGACTAAGTTCGACAAAGAATATGCTGCAGCATGCAACTGCCCTGCACAATGAAAGATCATGGACAAGAAGCTGCCCAATTAGTGTTTCCAGATTTCTGGACTGTGTCATCACACAATTACCAAACAAGGTGAAAGTTTGAGACCTTTACTCAACATGGTCTTTGCTAAGCTGTATGCTAATGATAAAAAGTATAAAAACCAAAGGGTAGGCTACAGAGCTATGGAGGAATGTGGGTTTGAAAGGCCAATTGCAGTGTAAAATTAATTTCCATTTTTCTACCTTAACTATTTGAACTGATAGATTCAATTTCTGCCATTTGACACTTCAAAAAACAAACAAGATTCAACTCTTATGGTAAATTTGTACTGGACAAAGCCAGCTTTACACGTCCAAACCCATCTTTTAACATACATCAAAGCACAATGACAACAGCTACAGGTATACATAAAAGTGCACAGCTACTTCGCACATGACTTCTTACACCCTTACCTTTAGAGATGTCATGGAGGAATCGGGCATTCCTCCTAATGACCTTCTTAAAGGCAGTCAGCCAGCGTTCATGTACTGATGCCTTCATCACGTTGACTTCTTTGGGGGTGTACATGTTTGAGACCTTATTGTCAGGGAACCGGTGAGCATGGGCAGATGAATTCAGATGATTTTTTGAACACGCTGTGACAATCAGATGCAACAAATGACATCTTGGAAAAATCTCATTGCTTTATATAAACTATTAATACAATAAAAGGACCACTGATGAAACAATTATTTATTTATGTTCGGGGGAAGGCAGAATCTCCAAGCAGAAGTAGAGGCAAACCACATGATAACATCATTCACATTTTCAAGGTTTAAGTAATCCGTAAGATGAGATGATTTGGTCAAGTGTTACTTGCCATTTCTGATCACTGTTTGATTTGGGAAGGGGGATCTTTACTTGCCAATGCTTTTCATATTTGTCTGGGTCTCTATGAGAAAAAGATAAATATTTCTATCTTTTTTTTTACAGTTTTGCAGTTCACCACCTGATCTGGAGACAATATCTCTTTTCCAATTGACAGCCATTACACGTACCTGAACTCAACAAAGTGGTTTTCAGTGTCCTTTGTTTCAATTGTGACAATAATGCTTAGTTTAATGCTTGATTGTTTGTGTTCCATGTTGGGCCTTTTGAGCATTTCAAAATGCTTAATGTGTATTATGCCTGAGAGACATTTTGTCAAGTTATCAGTCTTCCCCTGGTCAAAGCATGGAGGCAGGAAAAGTAAGAGTCCAAAGGCTAAAAATATCACGTATGCCATCTCATGTTAACGAGGTAAAAGACGGCGTTTGACTTCCTTCTTTATACAAGGTTTTTGTATGTGTGGACCAAGCTGTGGGAACATTTCCCTCTCCCCATAACGTTTTCAGTCCCCACAAAACAGGTGAAATATCACATGCTTGTCCCCACACATCAATGGAACAGGTATGTGTGTAAGCCTAAACAATGTGCACGGTTGATTTGCACCTAATAAACTATCGGATGATTAAAAATGTCTTGTCTACCATACCTTTTCTTTTAATTATATGTCAGGGTTTCCCAAGATATAATTTATGCACTTTGGAACAATCATTATGTATATATAAACTCATATTTAACATCTACTCTGTGCTGTATCAATATGCACTGAACATTGTTTTGTATTGTTTTGTGAAGGCATGAAAATAATAAGTTAACTTCAATAGTACAACTCTCCACGGCAGAGACCCCCATTTCACAGCACAGTGGGGTGCAAAACACCCGGAAGGCTCCCCCCATTTCACAGCACAGTGGGGTGCAATACACCCAGAAAACTCCCCCATTTCACAGCACAGTGGGGTGCAAAACACCCGGAAGGCTCCCCCCATTTCACAGCACAGTGGGGTGCAAAACACCTGGAAGACTCCCTCATGCATACATGACGTCAATGTTATTAATCTTTTTCAACCCTCACAAGCATAATATTTTGATGGACATAAATACACTGAGTGTTAGGGTGTATAATTCAACAAGGTTGAGCAATAACGCATGTTTGTTTACGATAACTGTTCCAATAATTCAAGTATTGTTCAAATGTTGTACTGTGGCTTGAAGCACAAGTATAAGGAGTACCTGTTTTGAATGCACAAATAATCTGCTTAAATTAGATGTAAGCCCTTGATAGCAAAACAGGTTATAAAGGATCATTAACTACATTATAAATTGGAAAAAACCAACGATTTCAATGTAATGTTTATGATAATCTAATTCTTTATAGACTGACTGTTAAACGCTTTTGATCTTAAGTTGGTCAAGTGCAATGTGCTGTATTTATGAATAGCATGGCAGAGTTGACTTTCTCACGTGACCAAGTGAACAAGTGCCATCAATGAGAGACAAGTGCCCACAGTTAGCTCGCATCACCACTCCGTAAAATTCCACGTCCACACATGAACGTGTAAGACATGTGAACATTCCCCATTATTTTGTGGTAGCGACAATGTGAAACCTCAGGTCTGATGAGAAACTGTTGATTTTTCATGCTTGGCCCTCCAGCCAACTCAGTGCTAATGATGCATGTTTGCACTTGTCACTATGGCTTGATGACAGAGGGAAGAGGTGAGACCTTTGGGGCTCCACTGCAATGCTAGTTTGGGTCGCCGTGGCGGAAATTAGGTTGGTAATGCCACAGTGTGGTTTAAATGTTGGTGATTACAACCCTTAAGTTCAAACAGAACAAATGTCAGGATCCAATTTAGAGGTCTAGGGGAAAGTTAAGGGCAAGATGATGATGGCGTCTCACAGATGTTGAAATGATGATTGAAATCAGCAAATAAAGCAGGAAGAAAGAAATGCTGAATTATATCACTCTTCACATTAATCTATGCTGAGCAGGCCCATGCAGACAAAAGAAATGTTTATAGGAAAGAGTTTGTGCTGCTCGGTACTCGGGCATATTCATCATCTATGAAGAACTACAGATAAAAAAGTGTCCTCAGGAAAAATTTATTTCAGCTATAAACGGTATCACACATCTCCACCCTAGCAATTTTCTCAGTTTAAATTGAAAGTCTAGAAAGAAACAGTTAAATGTAGCAGAAAAAAATACCAGAAAGTACTTTTAAAAATTTAATGCAAGTTGCAACAATTTAACAGGCAGACTAGCCCAAGAAAACACTGAAGCTGCTGTAGGACGCCCTCTATTTCTTAAGCACTGCACAGATTAATCACTTGATACTGATGGGCTTCATAAAGGGAGCCCTCTTGTGACATTGACAGAGAAAAAAATATATGGTGCATGACTACAGTAGGCCTGCCTGAAGTTAATTTTTCAAAGAAGTTTCATCTCAGGATTTGGGTACAAAATTTCAGCATTTCACAATACACTTAGATTTCAGTTTGACTTTGAAGAGAAGTTTCTAAATTTTATTCTTTCAACTCTTTCTACTCAGTGATGGTTTAATTACGTGCACAGGTATTCTCATTTCTTAGCCACTCCTTGTTTACAACTGTATACTTTACTGTTTGGAATTGATTTCAAAAAGGAAATACTTTTTAAAATTGCAATGGCAATTCAGTTTTTCTTTGTAAAAGTGATAATGCAACTAAAGAAAACTGAAGTTAGACAGAGGATGTTTTTGGAATATTTAAATTTTAAGTGGCGACTTTTGAGATGCTGAGTCCTTTTCTCGTGTTTGTGTCAAGTTTTTGTGCTCAAAATGGCAGAAAACAGAAAAAGACCATTGTGTATGCCAACTACCAGTAATCTCAAAAGTCTGCTTCACCTGCCTTACGCTAAGCACAGATTTTAATGTGCCATTGTATGATTATATATGTATAGGGACAATTTCAAAGTCACATAATTATTTTCTATCGTTAAAAAGAGCACTAAACCATCTTTCCTTGGTCACCTGTACATGTAGTTCATTTCGGGCCAAATGTTTCTTTTACAGAGTAAATGTCTAATTCTAAATTTGTTTTTGTTGACTATTTATGGGTTCACCAAGACCTATTAGCTGCAAATAGAAACCACACTTCACGTGGACCCGACTGCTACACGTAACTTCTGTGTGGCATTTCATTACAGGTTCACTGACTAATTACTTAGATGTCACAGCTTTTTATGCAATATTTTAAGGGCAAACGACTAACAATGAAATCTGTTTAAATGCACAGACACTTCCAGCACGTTTTCTGCCACGTGTTTCACGTGTTTGATCCGCATCCATGCACAATACACACCTTTCCCTTCAAGTTCAAGGAGCTTTTTTTAATTGCTGTAGTCAAAGATTTTACACAATTACATACCACATTTGTAATATCAGCATGTTGGCTTCTTTAAAGTTTATATTTGTTTTCCTTTTTTGCGAGACCTTTTGTGCCTCATATTACACCTATCTTTGCATTTTGGCTTTGTGCTGCTTACCGGAAAGGTATCTAATGAAGTTAAACTCACACTGTGTCACATCATAAACTACATGTATATGATCTTCAGACTGTACTTCTGTGCAGTTCATTGTGCACTGTGACATCTAATCCATCAAAAGGATTTTACTAATCTTCATACATTTAACTGGTCTAAAAGAAACATTTTAGTAATTATAAAGGTTCCCCCCCCCAAGCAAAACTAACACTCTGGTAATGCCTGATAAAACTGACATTAACTGTGCATATACATTTCTCAGAATAGTGCTGGTTTAGACAGCAACATCAATACATATGAACACTGCATATGATATACAATTCGTCAATGTTTTTACACTAAAGTCATCCATCTCCCTCCCGCGTTCATCCTTTTTCAATACACAAGCCATATCCACCTGCTACTGATGCAAAGGAAAATAGTTAAATCTTTGCCACTCAAAAGAGAGGTCTGTGGTGGTCTCTGATCCTGCTTGAATGTACGTGTATTAAGCACACGAATAATACTAACACTTCCATAATTTAGTGAAAAGAAGCGTGCACAATATTTCCATCCTCTAAACTTCATTAACTTGAGAAATTTATTTGCTTTATGGTTTGTACTTTCTTACAATATCTTTCAGAATAGGTGCCAACTTTAGTCCCCTGGTAAAACTTGTTTCAGAGCAAAAACACCTTGAAAAATTCAAGTAAAGAAGACAACAGTCTAAAGCACTCCTCATTTCGGTCAAAGGATATGGTATACATCCCTGATTCAAATGAGTCAATATTTTGCAGGAACTGTGGGCCAAGAGGTGTCGAAATAAAGCCTTCAAGATATCCACTTACCGATTGGACTAGAACAACATGTGTTTGATTTCCTCAATTTAGATTTTATCTGTTATGGCAGGGAACACAGATTACATTAAAAGAGGTTTAGGTTCTCAATTTGAACATCCAGACTTTGATTGTCAAAGCACCTTGCAGATACTACCAGGCAAAGACAAAGACTGTGCAAATCAGTGCTGTTAACACTGCAATAGTACAAACCAGGGTCACCAACTTACATCTATCTTCAGAACTCTTAATAAAGCATCAGCGCATGAGCATACATTCAGTTTGCAGCGTGGGTGAGTTCAAAGACATACATGTAATTTCAGCTGATGTGTTTTGTACAACTGCATCCAAACTGACTGTGTATCACAAAATACTCTAACTACATGTACACAAACAAATCCATTCCTGCTAACTATTTTGCAAACTAAATTTTGAA